ATAATAATAATAATAATAATAATAATAATAATAATAATAATAATAATGATACCGCTATCGAAATGAATGAACGAATCATGGAGGGATTAGTTGTTCCAGCGGCGGAATCGAACTTTCGGTCTACTGCCTGTGACTACAGTGCTACCACACTGCGGCATGCTACTGCAGTGATTCAAAATTTAGCAAGCACTAAGACACTGTGCAGCGACAGACGCTCTGCTTGGCAGTGAAATAATTCTAATTATAAAGCGCGTTCGTTAGAAGGCCGAATCGCAACCCTAAAAAAAAAAAAGTGGTAAAAAATGCAGTACCATTTCGAGCCATAAATTTGTCGTCAAAATCTGGTTCTTTTCATCCTGAAACGAGAAAAAAGTGGAATAAAACGCTGAGCTGGCAGGCGCAGGAGTGAGAAGCAGATTCAACAAGGCAGGCTCACCACATCAATGATTCGTATCAGTGAGGCTCCCAATTTCACCGTGAGAATATCCGTGCTGTTCTTCACTGGCCGTGGGATTTTGTTGTAGTTGTAGAGCAAATCCTGGTAAAGCTGCCCCTCAAATTCGGCTGAGCTGCGTGGCGCCACAGTGCTCGTGGGCAGCAGCAACAGCAGCAAAATGCCCAGCAACGGCAACAAGAACGATTGCGCCGCATCAGTCGACATGCGCGAATAATACTGGGCCAGAAGGTAGCCGAAACTGCTTCGGGACGAGTCCCAGGCCTAGTGCTCCATGTGTTCAGTGTCTGCGGCCTCTTTTCCCGCATTGTCTCTCCGCCTGGTCAGTGAATGCACCGAGGAATTGTGGCCCGGGCGTGCAGCAAGCGAAGCAACTTCTAGAACCGGGCTCGACCGGGCCAGGCGACACGCATTGCATTTGTTTGTGGTAGTGGTGGGAAGAGAGTGGGGCGGGATGTAGTAGAATGGAGGAGCTGGACTTGCGCGTCATGCGCAAGAAGACATTTTACGACGCAGCCTTTGTGTTTCATCCCTTAACTGTAAACACGAACCGAACTCTGCATGCGCCTAGAAGCGGGAATCGCCAGTACGGCCTCCTAGCCGCCATGTACTGAACAGTCATGTGACTAATTTGCAGGAAAGTCTTAGTCGTACGCGAAGATACGTTTCGGGGAGAGGGGATGTATTTCAGTGAGAATTTGAAGTGAGGGAAAGCCGTGCAACTGTCGTACAAGTGAGATGGCTACTTTATCAGTTCAAAATTTCACGAAAAAATTTAAAATGTAGGTATACTTACGCGTACGAAGCTCTCTCAGTGCTTGAAAAAATCAAAAACAGAAAAAAAAACACGAGTGCACCGGCTGCTTCCCTTTATTTCTGGAATGATTCCAAAGCATATCTTGGGAGGGTTTAACAGCTTTTTCGCTGTTGTATCATAATCATTGTTTGTGCTTCAGTGATTGCAGCGTAGCTTTGTTGCCAGGGCAATATCTTTATATTTTTCATCGCTCAGTTGAATCTCAGTTGCTGCGATCGATGATGCTAAGCAAGAAATTTGGTGCTGAATGTAAGCTGCTGGCAGACCACCGTTTGCGGTATAGGGATGTGTGTGTGCATGTTCTTTCAGGGAGCTCGATTCAGCACACAATGGCCGACGTGATCATCCCGGAGAAGTACACACGCGATTACAACACCGATCACAGTGGACGCAGCACGCCGGTTCCTGTAACAACAAAATTCAGCTATGGCACAGCTGGCTTTCGAGCGAATGCAACTCAGCTGCCGTTTGTCGTATTCCGTGTCGGATATTTGGCTGCTATCCGTTCAAAGTATGCATTGTTGTTTGCCCCCGAAGTTTTTTTTTTTTTTTTTTTTGCTTAAAAGAAGCCTTTTGGACTGTTTCGTTACACGAGCCCGATATAAATCCCGGCAGAGGCCATTTTCTGGTGCCCATGCCCTCAGTACTGCAGTACACATAGGTGCTTTCAAGGGGTTCTTTCACCCCCCTCCCCCTTACCGACACAGGCACCAGTACTCAAAAGGTTCGGGTCTAAAGCGAAAACTGAAGTAAGCTAAAGCTTAAAGTAACTCTTAAGTAGCAGTATCATAACTCTTTTCCTAGCTTTTGCATAGTTCTATGTTTTGTAGAGATTTTTGAAGTTCAAACAATGAATATCCCTGGCTAGGAGCTATTGGAAGAGGACGGGGGTCTGAAGTCTTCTATGTGTTAACATACATACGTTGCCGCTGCTTATTTTTTGTACTGATTTTATGCATCTGTCCGTTCCTCATCGTTGGAATAACAGTTGGATAAGTATACCATTTCCCGACAGCACACATGTAGTTTGAAGAGTTACTCATTTTACAGGTATTTGAATAAAGCTCTGGGTATTATGGTGACAGCATCACACAATCCGGTGGAAGACAACGGTGTGAAAATTATCGATCCGTCCGGTGAGATGTTGGACAGTAGCTGGGAGGAATATGCAGATTCGATTGTCAATGCGAGGTTCGTGGCTTTGAATTCATGCATATTTTAAGTAAATAAAAAAACGAAATTTTTAATTGTTGTTCCTTGGAATAGCAATTGTTCGCGTTTTTTTTGGCTTGCGTGGTCATTTCAGTGATGATTTTTTAAGAGGCCAAATTTTCACTAATTCAGAAAATGGCTGCAAAATGTCTTTTCCAATTCTAACATAGCAACTTCTGTGAAACTGACACTTTTCAGCCACCCTGTTACCAGTTCTGTTGTGTTGAAGTGAAACATGGAATACCACGCTTGCTGAGGAGAAAAAGTTAGTGTTGGCTCAATAAACAGTGAAATATAACGATTAGTTACTATTTAATAATGTAAAAAATAGCTGTTCTTCACCAGCCGCGTATTGCCAAGTATTTTATAGTGATGAAGAATTTGTTGAGAAGATGCGTGAGTTTCGTCAACGGTATGGTGCACGTGGTGGCCGAAATGCTTGTATTCTTACAGCGATCGATACACGACCGAGTTCGGGACATCTGGAAGATGCAGCCTGCCGTGGAGCGCAATGTGCCAATGTTAATGTACAAAGACTAGGTGCGTTTTTTAGCATCCTGGAAACTAGCAATTTTTAGCATTCTGAAAAAAAAAAAAATCTTTGGCTCTCAGTGACTTGAAAACATTTGATAATTTTGCTTTTTTATACTCACTTGAGAAATTCCGACAATAAAAAGGATGCGTTTTACTAAAGCATTTCAAAAGCTAAATATTCTAGGTCAGGCTTTTCACTAATGCTATAACTGCTAGACTTTTACGGTTCGAGCAAATCTAGCTAATGTTTCATAAATTTTGAACCTTAGTTTTTGACGTTTTGATCATTTTCTGCTTCATTGTACGTCCTTTCTCATCTCATTGATAACTCAGTTTTTGCACTTCGTACCTGTACATTACTCTATAAAGGTGTTTAGGTTAAGTTATCAAATGAAAAGACGTATCGGTGTAAAGTTTGGCGAGCGATTCTCGATCCCAAAACATTGAGCTGTTATCGAAATTCAAAAAACTTTACTGTTGTTATAATTAAATCCTTATAATGTTTTATTTTTATTAAGTTTTATAACGATTAATAGATTTTATTGTACGCAAGTGCTATGAATTTCGTGATTGCTGTTTTTGAATTTGAGAACGCGATGGGCCGGTTAATTTTGCAGGTATACTGACAACACCACAGTTGCACTACATTGTCCGGTGTCAAAATGATCCACTATATGGTGCTGCTACAGAGAAGGGATATTATGAGCGAGTGCGGAATTCCATGGATGGCTTAAATTTTGTGAGTTTTCATTTTTTTTTTTTTAAAACCCCATTAATGAAATTGCTTTCATAGAACACATAGTCGAATTGCACTGGGGTTGTTGAATCAAGCTGCAACAGAGATATGAATATAACAGAGATTTATGTATGTGTGGATGTGTGATTTTGTACCGGCGTGCATGCATGCGTATGTGTGCGTGGGTGTATGTTTGTGGGTGCATGTATGTGTGTGTGTGTGTGAGTGTATGTGTGTGGGTGGGTTTGTGTGTGTGTGTATATGTGTGCGTGATTAGATCGCACATATTTTTGATTCAAACTTCTCACTGTGATATGGAAGTGGCAACGAGCGAGGTAGTGCCGAAATACGGTGAGGTCCCAGACTTGCCAAGAAGTGGGCAGCTTGATTTTGTCCAACGAAGCTTGAGTGGTACGAATCATTGCTAGCTTGACCAACGGATGGAGTCATAGTAGTGGACATTTAGCATTGTACAAAATGGAAGATTTTTTACACTGTGCAAAATTGCATGGAGAACAGCATAAAATGAGACATAAAATCAGCCCTTTGATCCAGCTTGACTCGGCTGAATGCTTGGAAATTGTCAAGGAAGCGATTACAAAATGTCTGACAAATACTTCTTCTGCTCCAGTCCTTGGCGGATCGATAGGCCCGAGAGGTACAGAGACTTTATTTCGCCCCTACTTTTTGCCCCCAGTCTGAATTCGTATTTCTCATGCTGTACTGGGATGGTGATTTGAACATTATTGGGGGACATCTTTCATTTTTCGTAGATGACATAGTTCTTACTGCGAACAATGCTTGAACGAGGTGATGTAGGATTTCATTCTGAGCAGTGTGGGCTGCCCTCGAAAACGTAGATTTTGCAAGTTGCTGAAAATCGTGGTAATTTTTAAGTGGGTTGCATCCCGACTGTCAGGTTTTGGTGAGTCGCCTAAATCCCATAGCTGTGATTAGATTGCGCCAAGCTTTATGTTATTAAATGAATTTGGCAAAGACTTGCATTTTGATCTGCGGGTGCAGGGGGTTATTGGACCTGAATGTTACGTGCCTTGTATATTCGAGAGGAATTTTGCATTAACGTAATGCAATAAACCATTTCAGAGCACTCGTTCCGGGAATGCGTATACGCCAATACTGTATTTGGATTGTGCAAACGGCGTTGGTGCTCAGCAGTTCCGGAAATTGCACTTCGATCAATCATCTCTGCATGTGATTCTTGTAAATGACCAATTAGCCTCCCTTAATGACCACGTAAGCATTAATTTTTTTCTCAACATTCCTCACTTTGTTAAATTTAAGAACAAAAAGTTGCTCCGTTTAGCAGCCAGAGAAGTCCCGAATGCCTACGGAAGTTTTTCCAAATCTTCCCTCAAATTTTGGAAGGGCGGTTAGTGAATAATCAGTTTTTCCGAGTCTGTTGTTCATGGATTTGACTGTTAAGGACCACTTGTGCTCATGCGACTAATGAAAAGAAGTTCGGGGCGCAGCTGAAACATTGCAGAATTTTTTGCAATGTTTCAATGGATGTTGGAGTGTTTCCAGAATTTAGACGTGCAGTAAAATGTAAGAGATTCTTGTTCATTTTTGCGTATCAGTCGGAATTTTCACTGTCAAAGTGCGGTGTGACATTCGAGGGGTTCCATTGTTTTGCTGGTTGCTCTGAGTTTTTTTTTACAGTGTGGTGCAGATTATGTGAAAATAGAGAAGAAGTTCCCGCGTAATTTTGAGAAAATCGAAGCACTCCAGCGCTGTGCATCGTTCGATGGCGATGCTGATCGTCTAATCTACTTTTATCGCGATTGCTCAGACCAGCTTGTACTCGTTGACGGCGACAAAATAGCGGCGCTTTTCGCGAAATTTCTCACAGAGGTTGTCAGTTTTTGCGATTGAGAATTAACCTGCCCGAGCAGAAAGACGTTGGCATTGAAACGTCCTTTAGGTACCCACTGGATTCAACCAAAGAGTTGTATGAATTTTTGATTGGCTCCTTTGCAGCAGATAAAGGGAGCGGCGCTTGGTGATATATTTTCGCTATCAGTTATACAGACAGCTTACGCAAACGGGAATTCTACGAAATTTTTGCAAGAGGAACTGGTAAGTGAAGTCCCAAACGGTGAAGCGTTTGATGCTCGGATGAGGTTGCTGCTGAATTCATGCGTGATTCCAGGGAATCCGTGCATGTTGTGTTGCAACAGGAATCAAAAATTTGCAAAGAGAAGCGATGAAATATGATATTGGGGTATATTTTGAAGCGAATGGTCATGGAACTGTATATTTTAGCCAACGCTTCTACGATATTATGAAGTCACGCTTGCCGTTATTTTTTTTCTTTTTTTTTGTTTTTGTTTTTGAGTGCTTGTTGCTTTACACTTATTTGAAGGACGGAGGAAAGGACCGATTTTGAAATTTCTCTTTTTTTTGCAGTTTCAAGCACAGCTGTGGTGAGTTCTGTAGGTAGCTTCCTAAGGTTGCTATTTATCAATTTTATCAAAATTTATTAGCATTTATTCATTTATCAGACAAACACATCAATTTCCAGGACAATTGTTACGCATAAGGATGATATGGGTAAAAAAATCCAAGTGAGGAGGTTGCTGTGTTTCTCAAAATTGCTGAATACAGTGATTGGTGATGCGATGACCGACCTGCTAGCTGTCGAGATGCTTCTCAAGTATTATGATTGGACTGTGGAACGCTGGAATAATATGTATAATGACCTGCCAAGCGTTCAGAAAAAGATCAAGGTTAAAACTTTGCTTGTCTTTCCTACCACTTCTCCCCTCCCCCTCCCTCTTTCGGAAAGAAGTCACTTTAATGGATTGAGGCGTTGAGGTCCAGTAACAGGAAGTGATCAGAGTTTTGTTGTTGAACAACTCCAGCGTACTTAGCAGCTTCTTTAATATTTATAACTACAGATTGATGATCGAACGATGTTTGAAGTGAGCGCCAACGAGAGGACATGCATTGAGCCGTCAGGACTGCAGGAAAAAATTGATAATATCGTTGCGAAGTATAAAAATGGACGTT